GTCAAAATGAATTAGATGCAATAAATAAGAGAACAATCCGCAGTATTCCCAAAAAAATTGTTCATTTTTCGATTGCTTTGTGTGAAATGAATGCTGTCGGTAAACTGTGTTTTTGCCATTGAAAAAGCACTCGTAGTGAAAGCACTTCATTGATGTGCTTTTTTGTTTACATATTACGTTCCGCGTTCATGGTGAGTGAGCAAGTCTTCTTCTTAAGAGGTTTCGTAATTTCAAACACTTTAAAACAGAAAATGAGAGTGCTTTTGGGCCAGAGATAATGTCTATCACCGGCAGGATCTCTGAACAACTCACAAAACGTTCAGTGGTTTTAGCTCGGGCACTTCAACTATCCAGCATCCTCGACTATCAGAAGTTCTTGACATCGCGGAAACATTCTCAACTACTCCAGATGAACAGCATCATCAGATGTACAAATCAAAATGGCTTGAAGTGGGTGCTATCGATAGTCTCCAAGTATCACCATAAGAGAATCAGAAAGTATGCTGAGTCTCAGGATATATCTCAGAATAAACTTACCATAAAAAATTACAGATGTGCTCACGATAACAAGTCAACAAATATAAAATATCACATGCTGTATTATAGAGACTGTGGGATATATCAGAAATAATAGTGTCATATGAATCCGATGGCATAAATATAATGACAATTGTAAGAATTGTGAGAAATATTGTGTCACAATCTGTACTGTAGGAACGTGATTTACGAACTCTGAGACGCGTTCAAAGGAATGCTGTAATAAGTCATAACAATGGATAAATGAATTTCTGTTCGAAGAGCAACGCACCTCATTCCGAGCAACGTTTGAATAATTGTTGAGATGCCACTAATAACAAATGTTGACGAAATAAGTTTCACTCTCAGATCGTAAACGTCTCGACCGGGACACAGTTCATTGGAGAGGATGAATGGAATGGTCAGCAGAGCACTCACGCATACCATTACTTGCTAAAATGAACATATTTCTAGTGATTACTCTCGTTTACCACTGCGTGTTATAACATTTTATGACATTAGTTTAATAAATTAAGCCTCGAAAAATTTGCATCCAAAAATCTCGAATTTCTATCAGTTCATCACCTTTATAAATCAATCCAAGTGTATCATTCTGGAGAAATTTCTTATGTTAAATTTCTGATCAATTCTCGATGAAAGATGATCGTTCAGGAAATAAGATTTCAGGTGTACAATACTGCTTGATGAGAAAAATGGCTGAAAAGAGAACGCCTAAAATCGAACCTGAAACCCAAAGAGCAAAGCGAGAAGGAATGGCGGTTTATCGTTGGCCTTATAGAACGGTCGTTCCTTACGTTGAGCTTTAGGCACCTCGATCGCATGTTTAACATCCGTTGCACTCATTACGAATGAACAGCAGATGATGCTGAAAATAAGTTTGCAATATTTCGTTGCACAATCGAAACAAGTCAACGTCAATAATTATCGCGTCTTTCAATGAACTGCCTGAGTGCAGTGGCAATGAACAACATTTATATTGAAGTATCATGAAGCTGATAATGAAAACACGATTTGTAATTTTCGAATGGAATTAGTTTTTGCTCTATTGAATGTCAACTTTTTTTGCAGCAAACAATTCTTCTGCTTCATAAATTTCCTTGAATTCGACTGCTATAAGCAATTTGTCGTAAATTTTCACACTAAAACTGACACTATTGCATTTGGGAATAACGGCGGTAAGCATAACTATAATAAGTCTAAAGAGGATTTCACTGAAAACATTGTAAATCACTAGTGAGAAGTACGGAAATATGAGAATATTATAGCATATATGTGTGTACATGATATGATATGGATACATGATATGGATGTTCATTTTCTCATTATTTCATAATGTTTGTACGCAGTCATCGAAAGGTAAAAGTAAACACGACCTTAATTCAGTAATAAAAGAAGAATAGTATTCAGTGGTATATTCAACAGTTTTTCTCACTGGTATATTCAACTGATTAATAAATTATAACCACAAGAAGTAATTAAACATTCATATTGATCAAATATTCATGACGAATGGTCATCACATACGCATGCATCGATCAGAAAACTTCAAATATCCTTAGGCTTACTATTAACGATAAATTAAACCAAGCCACCCAATGCTGCAGTTTTTTCCAACCAAAGGATATAAATCAAATGCATATTTTCCACATTTTTCAATATGCATCAACGAAACACAACTAATTCCGTTGATATTAAAGTATGATTGAGTTTAATTAACATCTTCACAATAACGTTATATTCCGTCATCTTTCGTCATCAATGAATGTTATTAAAGGAATTATATCGCATTTACTGCGGATATTGGTGCGTAAATTTGTTTAAAATTTGAATTTGAACGAATAACATTCGAATGAAGTACTTAAGATAAGACAAGACAAGACAAGATACGATAAGACTTTATTGAGAAATGATATAATGATGATGAGAGTCACAAGGAGAATATGACAGATTGAACGGATATTGAATGAATGATATGATGATGACATATGCACTGAATTGAGATCTAAAAGGGGTGTTAGGTGGAGCAATATCATTAGTTGTTGCATAGTTATGTGGAGGATATACGAAATCCCTATCTACTTGGTTTATATTCATTCATTTGTTCATTTAGTTGTTCGCTCATTATTGAGACAGACATTCACCACTCGTTACTGCACATTATTGAAGGAAAGGGCACAGAAAGAGAAGTGCTAAAAGGCGATTGCTGAAGGAAGATAAATACGGTTGGATATATTAGCATATGAAACGAGACGAGACACATTCGTGTGCATGCTAGATGTGCTTAATTCATGCACGGATGGGCCTGTGTGTGCATGATAACTACATGACATAAGCCTAAGCTCATAATGAGAATGGGTTTGTCCCGATGAGCGTACACTTGCTGACGGGAGGTAAATTAGACGTAATTTTTAGCAAATATGCAAGTTAACTTGCCCATAAAACAGTCAACAATTTGAGATGTTTAATTACGCATGATAATTGCAGGTTCTATTCAGCTATTCATTCGTTGATGCATTATTGATGGGAAGAGCAAAGAAAACGGCTGACGATTGGTGATGGGATGATGAAAAACGAATGATTACGAGAGAATCCCTTTACGGAGGAAAAAAGTAGAGCGATTATGACGGAATCCCTTTGTCACTTTCATTTAAACGCATTGAAATGAAAAGTCGATTGAAGTTTTACAAATTTTTAATCTAATAAAATCGCAAATTTCAAAAGAATTCGTCGATTCGTTCTCACTTCAAACGAGTCTAATGATATCAAATTGTTCAATTTAAAGGTTTATTGACATTTTGAAGGAATGCCGTTAAATGCTGGACTATCTCATAAACTATGTTTCAGGGTTGCTCTCCAATAAACAATCCAACACTGAATTGACCACTTAAGAAAAATGAGACGATAGAAAAAATTCGAATGATGTCAAGCATTTATGTTAAGCGTTTAAATTTTTCTGGATAATCAACAAAATTATCAACAGATTCTATCGTTTATTAGAGGCAATAAATAATTTCCACAAAGCATCCATCAAATGTTTCTCGCTTATTGCATTTGCTTCATTCGTCACCTGTCACTTAATTGTGTAATGTAACAACGCAAAAATATTTATTTATATCACTGCTTCCTTTATGAACACTATTTATATGCAACTGTGTTGTTGCCTTATCATGAGATTATTCGTTGAGCGCGTTATTATTGGATGTTTACGCCTGAAAATTCCAATTACAACTTCGAACAATTGGAATTCGACGGATTCCATTTAAGTACAGAAAAGTCCAAATATACTGCAACAAGCACATTCGGATTCCTGCTCCCCATCACTGAACCGACATGTTTAACGAATGGGACCATGAAACTCGAGCAGTAGAAGCGCTAGTAATACCCATAAACCAGAAACTAGAAACTATAAACTTCAGCTGGATTGATATGAATGGAATGTTGTTAGTATGTGACTAGAATTCGTCAACTCTCACAGGAACAACATTAGAAATAATGATTAATATCAGGAAAATAGCAATTACACTAAAAATACCAAAGATACTAATAATACTATTACAATGGGAGCAGTTCCAAGGTAGTCGTCTATCTTTTCAGCAGTAATATTTCACTAGACAGCTATGATGTGAAATCGCAACCTTCTTAAGAAGTGACATCGAACGATGAGAACTTGAAATATGTACAACGCTAAAATAAATCCTTACAGATTGTCAAATCTGAGCGCTCTTACTTGAAGTTCCTATTGCATCCGCTTGGATTCTTATCAATCTGGACAAAGAAGGCAGCGCAAACATATCAGAACGATTGTAATTATTTTTTGCTTCTTCATCCATACAGGATCAAGGACAGATGTCAAGAATAATTTAAGAGAGATTTTCGTTTTGATATGTCAAAATGAAATGGAAATCGAACGAATAACCTTGACAATAGCGACTAATGATGTACTCGAATACGTGCACATTGCACATTCTTACGCAGAAATTGCTAATCGAAGAAGCGTCGTGTGCAATCAACAAAAACACTTCAAAAAACCATTGAATGAAGTCGCAGAATTAATGACCAACTGAATCGTCGTTTCATTCTCATGCAAAAATATTTACAATCTGATCGTGAAGGGGATGAGATAGCTGTTGGATGAAAAAGAAAAATCGTAAGCAGATAAGATTGTTATCGAATGATTTGGATGGATTGTGTGAGACAGAGAGAGTTTCGCAGCAAAATGAACAACAAGCGATTTCACATAATGCCATTTTTGAAGATTAATGCAAGGATTAATTCAAGAAGACAGTTACAATCGCGCAGACCAATGTTCACTGCGGAACACTCGAAGAGTCTCATTCTCAGCCAAACAATCTGGCCGATTGCAATCATTTAGAAAACATCGTCTTCTGGCATGGGAATAGTTTATTACGTTCGTTCATTGAAGTGGCATAGTGCCGAAACGTTGCCATCGGCTTAGCAATACTAATAAAGTACACTGAATCGTAAATCAACCAAGAAACATAGAATTGCGAATCGATGAATTTCAGTGGAAGCGTTAAAGATTCAAAGCAAGGATTCAGACACACTAACGTTGCGCAGTTTACGGCTTACACATGAGCAGGCAACTACGCATTCATCCATATGAATTATTGGCGAATTATTTATTCTCAATTCGACACTAACCATAAATGTCATCCTGCCTATGCGACTGCACTCAAATTCTAAAAGAATATAAGCTGATTCGATTCTTTCTGAATCGAATCAGCTTATTTTCTCTTAGAATCACCAACTTTTGGTACTGTTTTGAATAACAATGTGAAGACAACGGATGGCGATAATGGAATAAGATCACTGAGCGTGAAAGCAGAGAAGCATGAAATCGATTTGATCAGTGGTTAGTTGTAAGCTGGAAAATACGACAAAGACGAGTAAGTAAACGGATAAAAATGCATCGGAGTTGAAGAAGTTCTTCTGAAATGGGAGGAGATAACAGTTAGTCAGAGTTGACTGAGTGGAAATACGTTAAATGTGAAACGTCATTTGTGTGTGGATTATTAAAGTTGGTTACTGCTGACTGCATAAAGCTTAAACTAACAACACATACGCTGAGTAACGGAAGGTTAATTACTTGCATTCAGCTAACTGCCTACAATTTGCAACATATTGTGTTTGCATTGCGAATGCAATTTACAGCCTTGCCTTACTTTTATGCGCCTAGACATCATTACTTACTACATATAATAAGTAAATCTTTAAACGGAAGGGAGACTGAACTGAACGTTCAAGTACTGTGAAACACACTGATAGAGTGTGGAGCATTTGAAGGGATTAAGATATGAAATATTAGACAAACATATTCAGTGGATGTGAATATATAATTAGGGTAAATATGCGAACGAATCGATCACATATCTGAACGACGACGGAAATTTCTATTCGAGTGAAAATAATTTGTGAACAATGAATGATATCAACAACAAATTCGCCACGCACACGGCTGGAGAATGTCTGGACGAGTGATAAAGTCAACTTACATCCAATTTTACAGCAGTGACTAAAAACAATCCATAACTGCAATAATCCGTGCGACAAACATCCGAAATCAACAAACACATCATTATCAACTGCTACTGGTTCATTGATCAAATATTTATTAGTGAACATATTATGCGATAATGATATTCTACAAATTAATACATATGAGCAGATAATGTGAATACTAATGATAAATCCCATGACTATATGATTCATACGACGACACAGTCCCAGTAATTATTACCTCTATTCCAGTATTCTATTATCAAAAATTCCATTACTACAAAACGAAATGAAGCGCAGTGATTAATTGGAAGCTAGAATGAGAC